GTCATACCGGTGCAGACTGGATAATGATGCTATTGTCTTTTAAGGACTGGCTTGAACTCATAATCATAGGCTGAGAACTATTCAGAGCTAAAGTGCCCCTGGCAGATGATCGAAAACCTGACCTTGAGTGGATCTACTGTGAGGCACACCTGAAGGACTTGCTCGTTCACAAGTGGGTCGGGTCAGGTCTGATTAGGTCTGAACCTCAAACGTCTTGCAGTCCGAACAGGAGGCCATGGTGCAGCCAAAGGCCTGACACACGCTCCCAGCTTGCCCTTTGAAAAGTGAAGACAATAACCCAACCAGCCTGACCCACTTTAGCAACATCAATCATTTAAACCCCAGAGCTCAATGTGAAGGACAAATATTTCTGATACAATAGTCATAAGCTTCTAATCCCATTGACATTTACGATACAGTCCCCGTACGTGACCCAGAGATTTCACTGAAGATGCAGTCATGTGACGCCGCAGTACCATAACAACAGAGCTCTGTGTGTAACAGCTGTCCCAGACCTGAGACTCGCTCATTCTCGTCAGAACACGCTGGTAGATAGCTGTGACAGCGCTTGTTTCAGCCGCGACATCACGGCATGAGGATGCAATTTGTCTCCAAAATGCCGACATTTCGCCGTGTTTTTTCGCCGGTCCTTTGCAGTTATGTTGACATCTGCACGGCTGCCTGTGGTTCTGAGCTTTTCTTGCAGGTGACACATTTTACTGAACAGGAAGCCATAGAAAATAAGGCGATCAGTGCTGCTTAAGTGTAAGTATTTCACTTTTCCACAAAATGATGAATGTGGAACCCTGCAGTCCGTGTCAGACTGCAGCTACGCACAGAAATCGGGGTGGGGGAAGGGGCTGGCGTCTCGCAGTGGGGTGAGACTCGAACCCACGCACCTCTTCCACCCCGAAGCCCGTGGGTGGCTGTTTGGTACTCCCTCGCATCAACCGCTGGAGTCCATATTGTGCTTGTGGCCCTCGACATCCAAAATGCAGGCTACCAGCAAATCGGCCCAGTCTTAATCTTGTGTCAAAGTCGGCCCACACCTTCAGCCTTCAGTGGTCCTGGAGGTCCATTTGAGCCAAATGTCCCTAGATAACATGCTGTGGTCCAATGGCAGGGTGATATTTTTTTCCATTTCCTACCGGTTTGAAATTATGCCCCCACCCCCTTCCCTGGATCCGACTGGGCCCAAGGCACACTTGCGGAACCGTGCCGCTGGAGATATGTGCCTGCAGAATCCACATGCAGGTTATTTTTAACTGGCCATTGTTGACGGCACCTGAGGCATGCTGGGAATTTTGTGTGCCCTCCCCTGCTACTCCGGGGCCACCGTGATAAGAGCGCACCAGACAGGAAATGGATTTATTCACGAGCCACCAAAGTATCACGAAAAGTGGGGGGGGGGTGGGTGGTTGGTCAGGATGATTCTTCAAAGGGAGCAAAATGATAGTTACATCATCTTAGGGTGTTTACCGAAAGTGCTAAATTACGTGCTCCGTGTTCTTCTGATCCCAGCAGGGCAGAGATGATGCTCCCCTTGAATCAGACGATTTAAAACAGGCGGTGGTGGTAGTGGAGACTTTAATTTCTAATCCCCATGCTGATAATCCCGTTTGGGCTGCCTGCGTGTCTGCGTGCACTGGGATCTGGGGGAGGGGGGGGCAGCAAAGCACCAGGAGAAGGAAAACNGGGGGGGGGGGGGGGGGGGGGGGGGGGGGGGGGGGGGGGGGGGGGGGGGGGGGGGGCAGCAAAGCACCAGGAGAAGGAAAACTTCACCGAGTTTTAATTAAATAGCACCAACACGGTAAAAAAAAAAATCCATCTGGATTTGATTGTGACATTTCCCTCATACTAAGGATGGACGGTAGGGTGTTTTCCTGCTGCTAGACACAAATGTCAGTATGTGAGACACGAGTTACCCCACCTTCTACATGCATTTAATGTTTTGCCCACTTATACAGCAGAATATTTTGCAGGAGCTCTTTGTTCAGGCTGTACTACACTGGAGCCATGCTGTAACGCCTATTATGAAGAAGATTCTGGATGCCAGCCTATAAATAGGTGCTGACTTGGGTCCCATCCGCTCTTGCTTGTGCTTGCAGCCGCAATCCTGGCATGGAGCAGATGGGGGGAGATGGAGACGGAGCACGAGTGTCTGGACTCTCCCCAAACGGCTGCTGGGGTTTGAAACATCCTTGTTTTTAAACCCTGCGGCAGTCTGTGTGTTTGCAAGACACAAAACCCATTTTACAGCACTTCTTAAATTAATAACAGCACACAGTTTAATTTAATTTGCAAATATTGGCAGCAAGACTAGCTATTTTTAAATTTTTCTTTTTCCAAATGTCTAAGCACTATCGATTTGACTGAGCCGAGTAAATGTTTCAGATGACTAAATGTAAAAGTACACTACATGGCAGAAAACTGATCTTAAACTCAAGTATTAGTGTGAAAGCTGAAAGCAGAGGAACCGTGGACGCTGCCTATCACCGCTGGTGCATGCAGCCTTGGCTTTGCTGTCTCAGGCATTCAGCCCTTGTTTGAGACTCATACGGTAAATGCAGACAGGTCTGCGCTCGCTGCCTGGGTTTCTGCAGTTTCTAAATGCAGTAACAGATATGTTTTTATTTTAAACCTTTTTCTTGTTTTTTCATTTTGGAGCTGGAGAACCACTCGCATAATGACATGAATTTCTATAAACAGCAGAAATATTAATTTTGTCATGTTAATATCAAAGCAACGGGTAGTCATGGCATCAAGACATTGTTTGTTTGTTTGACCGTTTCTTTGTTTATCACTGTTTTTGTTTGTCTATTAGTTTGTCCTTGTTTGTTTGGTCTGTCTTTGTCGGTGTCTGTTACCTTTTTTGTCTGTTTTCTGTTTGTTTGTCTTTTTGTTTGTTTGTCTTTCTGTTTGTCTGTCTATTTGCCTGTTTGTCTGTCTATTTACCTGTTTGTCTGTCCGTCTCTTTGTCTGTCTGTCTGTCCCAACTTCAAAGCACCAAGCTGCTTTTCTTCCAGCTCTTTGTTGTGCTCTGACAGCAAACAGCTTTCGGCTTCTTGTTTCTTCAGGATGGGTCCCTGCACATCAACAAGCATTTTAATCACGCGTATTTGAAATTCCTGTGTTTGTACAATTTGTGTTTGGAAGGGAAAAAGTCATAATAGTTTTCTGTTGGAACGATTCTGTTCCGGTGTGTCTCTCATCTGAGAGACATTTTGCCTGACGTCATCGTCCCCACCGGGTACATGCTTACCCAGTACGTCTCCGAAATGTACATTGGTTCATTCTGTTGTTGCTGAACACAGTAACTGTTTATTCTGAAATCACAAGTCAGTCTGAGATTTTGTCCCAGGACTCAGCTCTCAGCATATGTAAAATGAATTCCCAATGCCTTTAAATAAATCAGACTGTCAGCATGAGACTATTTATCCACAGTTCGATTAAATATATCCGATTATGGATTTTTGATATGTATATTCACATATATACCTATACATTTGTGTCATGTACAGTACTGTGCAAATGTCTTAGGCAGTCAAATGGTTAAAACTATTTATCTGGGTATTAAGTATATATGTGCTCAGAACAAAAAATGCAATCTAACGTTAGAACATATGCAAATGAAGAGTAGCACAATAAAGAACAACAGGGACGGGAAAAGGAATGTCTTCTTCAAACCTTTCCTCAGGAGCACCTCAACCATTCCACATATTCATTAAATTTCACCACCAGCTCATTTAATTAATTGATTGATTGATTGATTTGATTGATTTTGATTTAAAAGTCAGTGAGATATTGATTAGCCATATGAGGTGTGCTAGTGGTCGAGTCAAATAAACCTGCGTGTATTGCAGGGGTGTAATGGACCGTAAACGTACATAAATGCCATTTACACACCTTTTTAATTAAAAAACAGCATTTATTACACAATAAAAATGTTTGAGTAAAAAATCCCCATTGTACATTACTTTAGTCTACAACAGCACACCATACTGACCCTATCAGCATATCAACAAATTGGTACAACCATAACCTCCCCCTTTCACTCCCTGACAAAGCAGCCGGTGCTTACGAGCAAGCAGATCAATGACAAATCCTGCAGCATGCATGCGGAGAAGTGGACATCAGACAACATTTTGCAAGAATCGCAAACATCCCAAAAAATCCACGGTGCATGTTGGGGTTCATTTTCCTGGATCTCTTGTTTGCTTTGGAATGTTTTGAAAACGGTTTTCAGTAAAATCAAATGTTTAGTTTTATTGTAGTTGATTTGCTACATTTCTCAGGAATTAAAATTCTTGAAACTACTTGTTCAATCTCAACACCGTCTGGTCACTGTTGCACATCAAACCCAAACTTTCCAACCATCTTCTGTACCTACTTGTCCTATTCAGGGTCGCGGGGGTCCGGATCCTATCCCAGAGGCTAAAGGCGCTCGGCAGGGAACAACCTATCACAGGGCACCAACCTATCACAGGGAACAACCTATCACAGGGCACCAACCTATCACAGGGAACAACCTATCACAGGGCACCAACCTATCACAGGGCACCAACCTATCACAGGGCACACGAACACACCATTCATACGCACAAACTTCTGTGCCACCACACTGCCCCAAGCCCAAACTATTATTCTAAATTATTATTATTAAATAATAATACTATTAACATGATGATGACTTACTGCAGTCCTGCATCGATATTAGATGGTATATCCACCTGTCTTTAATGTGGACATGTATATTGGATGGTTGCTGCTAATCCTGTGGGGTGACTTTCGGAGAGGCTATGACACGACCAAGCTGACGCACTTTTAGAAACATCACATCACATCATTCTACACTAACAAGTGTCACTAACAAACGTCTCTTTGACTGCTTAAATCTTTGCACATTACTGCATGTGTAAAGGTGATCCATGTATTGAAGGCATGCTTAGTGTTTTTAATGCCTTGCAGTCAGGGATGTCTGACCTTCCCCCCCCCCCCAGGTGCACGAGTGCAGTATGAACGCATGGGCAGTGATGTGACCATGCAGTGCGGCACGCTGGAGGCCGACGCCTCCGTCACCTGGAAGGTGAACGGCACGGATGTCAAGGCGCAGCGGGTGGAGCAGGGATCTCGGCTCATCCTCAAGCAGGTGGACCTGAGCTCCAGCGGCCTCTACAGCTGCTTCCAGGACCCCGGCGGCGAGCGGCGCGACCAGATCAACCTGCGGGTGGGCAGTGAGTAAACCCCCCCCCCTGCCCCCCGTCTTCTCTCCCCTCCTCCATGTCTGTTTACCCAAGGTGTGTTGGGGGGGGGGGGGGCTTCCTTATGTAAACCCTCAGAAGGTATAAAAGCTTCATCAGGAGAGTAAGGCTGTCACACACCCCTGCCCAATCAGGATTAGGATGGGGGGGGGGGTGCATGGTCATTTGGCCTGAGAGTCCTCTGACAGTGTATACTGAGGATGACGTAATTAACTCCCCCCCCCCCCCATAAACCACTGCATCATGGGTGATGACATCATCAGGGCTTAGGTAACAGCACCAACTGTTATTTATTATTAAAATTTCACACCGAGACTGAGGCATTTTTTCATGTACATTTACACCGATGATGGCCGATGAATTATGAATTGTATGACTTTGCTTTTTATAAACTGCCAGGATTAACAGTTATTTTTCAATCTCCTGGACCATGATGGTGATATAATGTGAACAGTGAGTGTTGTGATATTATCTGATAAATCGTGTAGAGATGATGGGGAGAGCGGAGGCGGGGGGCGGGGGGGGGCGGCTGTTGTCTCTCGCAGTGGTAATAGCATTACGCTGGGGATATTACCAGGGGTGCTCTGCAAGCTTGACGAGATTCTGATTAACTAGGGGCTTCTGTCTGAGGGAGACGGTCGCAGGAGTCTTGTGGGACAGCATGCCGGCCGGTCAGTGAGTCGCTTCCAGCCAATCAGGGGGCTGTCACTGCAATAAACCATTGGACCAGAAAAGGATTTACCGGCCAATCAGTGCGCATGGAACAAGTGTAAAAGCCATCACAGCAGCTGCAGGTGGGGCCGGGGGGGTGGGGGGTGGTGCAGCGATACCCTGCCTCTGTTTTTATCTTTCCCTAATGAAATGGGTGAAGTGGTGCATCAGCAGGGGGGGGGGGAGTGGCAAATTTCGCAGAGCCAGGTGTGCCCCACGCCGTGCCCCCCCAGCTCCGGATTCCGAGCCGGACTCCTCCGACCCAGCATTACGCTGGCCGATACGGGGCTCAGATGCCATCACGGGGGGGGGGGGGGGGGAACGTTAGCGAGGTGCCGTGAATGTGCACATGAGCTCGATCACCAGGAAATGTCTGTAAAGCGTGTGAAGCGTGTGACTTACTGTACGGAGAGGCTCCGCAGTGACATGGGGGGTGGGGGCCTGGTATGCGTTACGCCCCAAGGCAGTGTGCCGCTGCCCATACAAAGACCTCCTCGGGGTGGGGTCTCTGTCCAGCTCTCCTTCATTCTCTCTCTGTCGTATCAAAGCCATTCATCCAGTTTCCCCCTCTCTCTTTCTCTATGAGGGAGAGGTAACAAGATAAGAGGCTCCCTAAGTGCTGCAGTTAATGTGGCAGAGTCCTGGGGCTTGAATGTCTTGTGACACGAGACAGCGGCCTCCAGACCAGCCCGTCGTCCTCCTGCTCCTGCCCCCCAGAAGGAAACACTCGCCTGTCTAAATACTTCACCTTCAACTGCATTATCATTTTTAAGTTTTGTGACACAGCTGAGGTCACTGTCTCCAAGCCGTGTTTTGCATCATGTTCCTGTAACGTTCGACGGACGTTTACTCTCAGACTGCCTGTAGGCCATTACAAAGCTGTGCTGTTGACATCTTCTTTTGTTTATAGCTTTGGGATGAGGCCTTTCTGCTGTTTCCGATGTGCTACCAGCCCCAAGCTGGGTTTGTTTAGAGCTGTGAAAGCAACTAAGTCAGACCCTCCCTCTGGTTCCCTAATCCACTAACCAGCGCTGCCGAATCCCAGCCTAAACCCTCTTTGCAATTTGAGAAATTCCCACTGCCCTCAGCTAAATGGAAAGTGTGGGAATCTCTCCGGTCCCTGCTTCTCCTCAGCCCTGCGCTCTGTCCTTCCCAGCGGGAGGAGATTGGCGTCCTTACCCGGCCTGCGGAGACGACCTTCACTCCCCCTGTCACTCCGTTTTGTTTTCACCATTTAAGAGATGCAGGCATCCCGTTAGACGCCATGTGCCTATAGGCCTCAGACAGAATTGTGGGTGGGGGCTGGTGGCAGGTCCTGATGGCACAGCATGTGATCGGGCCGGGGGGGTTATGTCGGATCGGGTAGATGGCTCAGGGTGGGGTTAGGAACTAGAGGCTATGAAAAAAAAGTCTCAGTGATCCCACTGTTCTGTTTTACTGACACAATAATTACCCTCCCCCTACCTTTTTTGGGTAATTTCATTTGTAAAGGACAAACACAATTATGCTGTTTTGTCAGGGACCTCAGGCTTACTGCTGTATGTAATTAACATGTATCGCTTAAAGTCAGTGCAGTTAAACATTCTGACTAAATTAGCCAACTCATACTGAATTTTCAGGCCCTTTCTGTGAAATTGAATTCTTTCATTCCTTAAATGGGGTTTACTTTTTGAAATGCGGGTTATTTGTACATGACGTCAGCCTGAGAGTGAGTAAACACCAGCAGGAAGTGTTTGGTGACGTTACTGTGTTTGTGCAGGGGCCTTTGCGTCGAGCACCGGGATTTTTGCGTGTAGGGGGGATTCGCCTGGGAAACGGTCACGCTGCGCATATGCACGTGCCCCCCCCCCCCCCCCCNTCGTGCGAACGCCGTGCCTCAGGAGGTCCGGAACGCAGCAGCTTCCGCTCAGAATCACCCGGAGCGTGGGAAGTGAGGCCAGTGGAATGGCTTGGATCAGCTGTTCCACTGGCACATAAATTAGCTTTAAAATATAAATTAAATTTCAATGTATAAAATATTAAAATCCTAATATTCAGCATCATTCACTATGGGGAGCCGGCATAATGAAGCACACTTAATATTTGTAATTATTATTTCTGTTATTATACCATTAAAAATGCGAGCTTCGGAGTTCTCGGTGTTAGTTAACGTGTACTGCTGGGCGGGGCCGGTGTTTGAATGAAGGACATATGGCCTGTGGAGGGGGGGGGGGCGAGGCACGGGAAACTGCTGTGTGGTCAGATTGAATCGGCCTTAATGACATCAGCGACTTTCTGAACTATTTATGGTTTTTTTCTTGGACTGAGAAAAAGGAAACTCCCCCCCACCCAAATTGCATATATTTACCCGCCCCCCCCTGTCAGATGAATTGCCTGTGATTAATATACTGCTCATGGTTTGTATCTCCGGGGATTGTGGCGAAAGGGTTGAGCCAGGCCATAACGCCATGACTGGGGGGGGGGCAGTGCTGAGGGGTCGCAGATGAGCTTGCCCTGCGGCCCGCGGACTGGGGACCGCTCTCCCATCACCAGCATGCCGACCTCATAATCGCAGTAATTCTGACAGGGAGCAGCAAGGGGTCAGCTGTGCCCCAGCGAATCGCCGACAACCTCGGGCATGTTTGTTACTGCTGCGTTCACTGTCAGCTTCAGAGGAAATATTTCAAAATGCATAAAGTCAATAAAGCGTAAGTCAGTCACAGCGAGCCGACTGCGCGTAACCTCCAGTGCGGCAAGAGACAGTCGGCGAGCTGCTGACCTTCGCCTGAAATGCACGCCGTTTTGGTGCATTTCAGCATAAAATCATTGCGCCTGGGAGGGGGGGGGGCTTAGGGAGCAGCATGCCGTCTGCTGCAGCCTGCGTCTGCTCCGTTACGATCTAATTAAAACCACCACGGTCGGCTGAGCGCAACACATCCCCATCTAGGATTAATGTTGGATCGGTGTTCAGGAAAAACCATGCGAGCGGCCCACGTTTGTCGGGCCTTGGGGCGGTGGGACCTTGGGAGTCGGAGGTTCTCGGGAGCGAGGACAAGCCCCAGACAGTTTGGAATCTTCTACTTGTGATTGTTGGATTCTCATATAAGCCTCTATAATTATGCTAGTTTGGTGCTGTGGTCAACAAATCTGAAATGAGCCTGTTTTGCATGCGGTGGGGAAGTCAAGGATTACTCAGGATTGTCACAAATTACGCGTCTTACTGGAAAATATTTATAGCCTCTGATCCCCTGGCAGGGCAGGAGGTGAAAGCGGCCTGCCTCGGATTTAAGGTTTACAGTTGAGCCCTCAGCCTGTAACCGCCCAACAAACTGTTGACGTTCCGGCACCCCACCCCCCGATTCCAAATCTAGCTGCTGGGCTGGCATGAAATGGCAATTTTCCCACCAAATAGGGGATGCGTCAAAGCATCCTTTGTGAGTTCTAATGGCGAGGGGGCGAGGGGGCGAGGGGGATGGCCACAGAGCACACAAAAGAAACACAACTGGAAATGGGATACTTTACTGAATATTGGGGGGGTAAAGATATTTATTAAACGTCTTCCTTGTTAAACCAGGCTTCCAGAGAGAGGCTATAATACATCTCACTTCTGCATCCTTAGCGGACATGGAACAGATGTGGCCTCTCACTGCAGTCAGGGCTGGCCCCCGTCCAGGCCGGCCCCCGTCATCTCCATAAAGGAGCCTCTGCACGGTGCTTGTGGCAGGTTCGGGGGGGGGGCAGGCATAATACCTGGGATGTTTAATTAGCAAGAATGGAGAGCTTCCTTCGTGGTCTTTGTGAATGCTGAGTGTGTAAGATGTGGAGCATCACAGGCTGCGGGGGTCTCTGTACATGGGGGGGTGGCAGGGGTGGGGGGGAAGTTTCACAGCTATGTGAGCAGTGAGATATCCGCTCGCAGGATGTATGTTTCTGTGTGCATCACATAACCAACAGGGACCCAGCAGAGACTGACAGGATGACAGGGGGCCCTGCTGAATAATGCGGCATGATCACTGCACTGATCAATGGCACTGTGCTCCATTAAGTGTCAGAGCCAAGCGGGGGGGGGGGGGGGGGGTAAGACCGTGAGAGGCAGGGTGGCCGGGGCTGCCAGTCAGCCCATGCGGGATGCTGGCGTGTAACGCGATGCCCGGCGAGGAGGCAGGGGGCCGTCCCCCAGCTGCGGGGGGAGCACGTGACGCCTGGCCCCCTCTCCGCAGTGCAGCTCGCTTCTGTGTCTGGTTTCCGCTGGGCTGTTTGTTTTGGCCTCTTTGCCAGCGATG